CCCCAAAACCCCAAAACCCCAAAACCCCAGATAGTGTTTTATTTTTATATAAAACTAATTCTGGCTTAAAAACAGCAGATCAGTATTTAGCTTATTCTTCTTTTTCTCCCTAAGCCTTGTCAGGAACTGAGACTTTGGCCTGCTAGATCTCATCGAATTTGTTGACGAAGGAACTCAAAGTTTCTGCTTCACTCCTTTCTTGGAAGGAACCTTCTGACTGGACTCTTTATTATCATTATTATGTTCTTCATGCGGATTTAGTTGGTTAAGCATCTTTGATGCGTTCTTACTTCAGCTAGTATTAGTTCTATTCTCTATTTTCTTGAGTCATATCATCAAAGAAGCAGAAGATCTTGTCTGCTTTTTATCAGATCAATTCTTGTAGATAGGTTTTCCACTGGTATCTAGTTTATTTAGGAGACATATTGATAATATTTGGGTGACCGATCCCATCAATTCTGAGCTTTTCTTGGTAGTCATTATTATCTTTAGTCAAAAAGTTAGCGTAAGTGTACCTTTGAATCAGAGATTGAGAATTAAATGGATTAGAGCTCTCCTTGAAAGGGGTGTTAGAGCCTTTTAGAATACTGCTCTCAGCTTTATTTTATCATTGCCATCCTTTTCTCATAGAATGACATAGGCCTGCTCTTTTGAAGCTTCAAGATCTTTCTGGCAAGTAATGAACGCATAGTTTGCTTCTTTGATTTCGTATTGCACTTAGAATTTCTGTATTTTAAGGAAGAAGGTTTCTTCTTTCCTAAAAATGTTCAGCCCATTCTATATTCATTTATTGATTCGCTCAAAGAATTTTGAGAAGAGTTGTTCAATGTCCCAATTCCAGATTTTGTTTTTGCTTTCCCAGGTAGAGGAATTCTTCTATGAGACATCTTTGTCTGGGTCCGATCATGATGAACAAGCCTCACAGGTTTGAAGCCTCTTTTCTTTTCAATATCTTTTATATGGCTCAGGAGTACAATCCGATCTGGGTTAGAATTCATTCTTTGTAATGAGCTTTCCTGAGGAGGCTCTAAACGAGTGCTGACTGATGCTTTATCTCCTACTATAGAGCACTTGTTGCTCTTGATTGCCTTTGAAATCTTGCCTTCAACATTGATTTGGGATATTTTATGGTTCTTATAGACATGTTTGAGGTATTTCTGTATTTTCTGGTTCTTAAGCTCAATATTACCTAAAGGTAGATGAGATAGTAAAATACTCTTATTTATGAAGGAACATTTGGCTGTTATTTTTCTCCTCAGGTTTCAGCTTTAAGTTGATCTGTGAAACAGACTGTGGTCTGAAACTTTTCTGTTGAAGGGAGGACTCAGAATTCTGCAGTAGTGCTTTATTCTGTGCAATATAGTTGCTTCAATTGGTCTTCAACCGATTCCAGCAAAAATCTTCATTGATTTCAAGATTAATGTTTTTCTTGCAACTGAATCCTCTTAAACTAAGTTTTGCTGGAGGAGTTGAGATGTTTATGGCTCTTTCACCTCGAGGAGTTATGAAAGGCGAGCGTGTATTAATAGAACGTATGCCATCTATTTGGTTATCTATGACTCTTCCAAACTGATGTGTTTTCTCTTCTAAATCTGTTAGTTTAAAAAATTTCTAACAATTGAGAAAGATCACTTACTTTCAAGGCAAGGGGTTAATGCTTCTTCAAAGTGTTTCTTTTGGCTAAAAATTGATTCCCAAATTTCTTACTTTAGATTATTGTCCATTAAAAATTTCAATATTATTATTTTCATAAGGGGTTTTGGGGTTTTGGGGTTTTGGGG